CCTACACGTAATCAACCGTTAAATTTTTCGTGTGGATAACAAGATTATTTAAAAAATTTCTTAATTTCTATTTCATTTTGAGAGATGATATTACGTTCAGCTTTTTGTTTCGAGCCTTTCAGTCTTCAACGTCATTGCCTATTTTGCACATTATCTTCAAGATTTAGTGAGTATCCCACCTGTCAGAGTTTTAGCTCCAACTTTTCTTTTTAAAATGGTGTACACCTCTCCATGATGTTGGTGATAATCGAGCTTGGCTTCTCTATTACAGTTGTTAATGGGCTAAATTTGTTTGTGGCCTCGTTCATGTCACAATTTATACGAGATATTGCACCCAATTAGAAATTCAAAATGTATAACGGCTTGTTATCTTAGTTTAAGCACAATTGGTTTTGTTACGTAATTTAGTCATACTCAAAAATTACATTTACATATTTTTCTTGAGCTATGTATGGGTCATAACTCAGACAAGCCGATCCGATAACATCTTCAAGAAGGCTGCCTCATTTCGCTTTGGATTGTCACATTCCTAAAAAAAAAAAGGTAACAGTTCCAGAAGACAGTAGAGTCAGTAAACCCCTCTCGTATCGAAAAAGGAAAAAAATTTCCTGCAAAGAGTCAAATACCACTATGTTCTCCTGAATTTCCCATTTTTCATTCAAGATAAGCGAGGAGAGGAGACGACATCGACACCGAGGCTCTCCGGCCAACCATCTTGGCCAAATTTATTTTCAACAATTTTCCAACTTAAACTGCCATCTTGTAGAATATTGTGACAATGCACACGATGCTTTGACGATGCGAAACCTTCGCCAAATTTTACTTCATAATTGGCATAGAGAAAAAAGCGCGGAAAGGGTTTTAAGGGTTTACGAAGTTTAAATGGCCAATGTTCTACCAATTAACTAATATTCTGCACACTGGTGTCTTGAGAAACTACTTCTTTCCCGTACATGTTCAAAAACATTTGACGACGGGTGGGATCATCTATGGCGACCCCGTTTCACATTTCATCCAAACTGGGGTAATGCTGCGAGGATATCCTCTTTCCAACTCAAGCCAACCATCATCAAGCCTCCAATACTCGTCATCTTTGAAGAAATATGTCCTCTCATTCCCATTCCAGGTCATGACAGAGTCCATGTTGTGTGGCAAACCTTAAACGTCATGTTAAACACAGATTAAATAAATGAAAACCCATTGAACGGTAGCCTTCTACCTTTGTCCATAAACGGTATCCAAACCATAATTGATGGTTTGAAACTTGAGAGAATTGGACAAAATTGAGAAGATTGTAAATTCTGAACTTGGTCGTCGAATAAAGAAAGTTGTTATTCGTTTATGTGACTAGCGTGGGACGGCACAACACCACACCCTTCAGTTATCGAGCTCCCAGATGCTACCACTGCGGAAAACCTTACAAGGCAATTAGCTAGGTTTAAAGTTATCAGGTTCGGATATGACAAGTGGCCCTTGTTCTGTTTCGACATGCACTATCGAAAGCGCCGAGTCTAACATCGCAAAAAATTTTGAAAAACTGTGAACATATATTGCGTCCTTCATAAACTCAGGTCGCAGTGTTTCCCAATCCGTCGAGAAAAGGAAACAGACAAGAAATCAAACAATAAGGACCAATTCAAGTCTTGTGATTTTCTCTTACCCCAAGCAATTATAGACTTTGGATAATTTTTATCCACAGCTTTGTTGAACTCGTTATATCGCCAGTAGTTATTCCCTTTGAAGAAATACGTCTTTTTATTGCCTCCCCAAACAAACGCCGCATCAGGATCACTCAGTGACGATGGCAGACCAATTTGACGGATGTCACCAGGACCTTCTTCGAGTATGTCACCGTAATATTTCCAGTATCTGTGCAGTAAGACAACAATAAAATCAAAGTTGTCATGATCAAGGAGTACAGTGGAGAATGTAATGCTGTGTAGTTCCATGCACGTCGATGCAAGGTGACAAGTTTTAACTGAATATCTTTCTTCATTTTTACCCAACCCCGATCTTTAATGCGCATAGTTTCTTTCAAAGGAATATATTTCATCGTATTACTTACATGCCTCCTTTGAAAAATACCATCCTTCCGTCTCGATTGGTATAGGCGCTGTTGATGGGTGTTTCAAGTTCTTTCCATTTACATGTTACCTTTAGCGGGCCATCCTCGACACTGAGAGAAGCTGACAGTACCCAGAAATAATCTCCACTAAACACGTACGTCTTGCCATCTGCGCCCATCATAAAAGAGTCAAACCTATGCATGTTACAGATATCCCCCACAAAGGGAGAAGATGAAGGTGTTTCTGTGACTGTTAGTGTCGTATCCTCCGTTTCTGCTGCAGTAGTTACTGCGTGAGTAACCTCATCCGTAATTAATGCTGCACTAGCTTTACTTGTTGTCACTTCGGTAAATGCTAAAGCTTTGGTCCTTGCAGGTGGTCTTGATGTCGGACTTGGTTTGCCTGAATGTTGAAATAACGATCATACATGAATCTTTATTGGTAAAGTCTTAAGAATCTTTTACAGTTATTCACCGAAGTTGAGGTGAACAGAAAGGGCCTTTTTCATTTCCACCACTTTCACCGACGCTGAGGTGACTAATTTTCCTAATGTAGACCGCGCAAAGACCAAAATGCACACGAAACTTACTCCGCTTATAACCCTTTACACTCCAGCATAAGAATGCATATTGTCTACACTGTGCTACATACATTTCCTAAAGTACTGACAGGGAGAATTTGTTTGCAATCAAGAACCTCTTAAGATCGTTTCCTATATTCTCATAATATTAATACTTGATTCAGGGACAATAGTGTTAGGAGAAACTAGATGCCAGTCACTCTTAGGGATTTAAAGGTTAAACCAATTTTTTAGTCGAAAGTAGAACATAAAATTAGAGTGCATTAGGGTAATTAAGTACTATCAACGGAGTTGATAACGTAAACTGGCTACCGTAAAGAGTTTACAAGCTGAAGTTTCGAGTGTTAGCCTGATATCAGCTTTGAAAATCTTTACTCTTTACTCTTTACGGTGGCCAATTTACGTTATCAACTCAGTTTGTAAAATGAAGTTACCCTGTTATACTCTCCCACTGACGCAGCACCTCAGTTTCTTTAGGAACTTAACCTTTTTATTTGATTGCATTAACTTTGACTCAGTATGCACCGTTAGTTATTGGTCAGAGAATTTATCGCCATTTTCTCAACCAATCAAAGCAAAACTAAAATCAGTCGCATTTTTATGCGTATCCTTATTCAAGTATTTTTCCTTTTGTTTTGACTCGTGGATATATGATTAATTTCGATGTAGTTTCACTGCACTTAATTGGGGGAGCCCTCCATCCTCAACTGAGATAAACTCTTCCTGAATATTCAGTTTACTACTTACCAAACAGGGCTTGCAACTGATCGATATCGCTCTGGCTAAGCTCGAGGTTCGGAAAGTAACCTTGGTACCAGGGATACATGACGGAGTAACGTACGTTGGAATGTTTCAGACCTAAGGTGTGGCCAAGTTCATGTAGAGCCACCCAGTCCAAGTTCATGCCACTGCTTGTATTTGTGGTGAAAGGTTCGCTGTCATCAAAATATACCTTAACTTAAAAAATTAAGGACAGTTAAAGAAAATTCTTTGCACATGCGCGTAAATTAATTTGCAAAGTAAGCCTGTTAAAGTAAAAAACGCACGACTTTCTTATTCATGTCTCGTATGCTTTACCATTGAGGCGAAGAGGATTGGAGCGACGGCTGGTATAGTGACTGGTTACTGAATTAGAATCGCAAGGCAAGCGCATCCTACCAGCTATTAATACGGGTAACTTGGAAGATCTGATCTTGTCTTCAATCTTATTTGTTCCATGAGACATGAACAACAAATCAGAGTTTGTTTAAACACTAAGTGTTTAACTTACTTTTGCTATCATTTGAAAAAAAAACCTCTCCAAATGTTCCTCCTTTTCCATCAAACGGATATTGATCACTGCTGTTGGGTTGTACAAAGCTTATCTCTATTTCCCCTCTCTTCTCTGCGTTTCTCGAGCGCCGATTACGGCACTTTGCTACACCAGGAATCCTTTTTTCCCAAATTTTAATCTGCCTAGCAATTATACTTTCTAGAGCATCTCCAGAAAAGTGATTTGAGGGTTCCTTGATAATGTAGTTCTACGGAAAGAGCAAATTTTGTTTTATTATTGAAGTACACATCACAACGGACAACAAAACTGCGATCCTTCCTTTCACCTTTTCTACACTCCTAACAGTGCGAAGTGAAGCATAACCAATTCAGTCACCGATTACGTTCAACCAGTGCAAATGAAAACTGTTCACAAACAATTGCACCTTTTAACTGGGCTCGGATGCTTAACCTCTGCGTGTGCGTTTTTCACCCGTCTCCACTGAGCAAAGCGTGACACAGGGTATTTTTTCATTTTGTTCGTGTATACCTATTTCCGTCACTAAATCTCTTAAGCTGACCAGATCCTCTTAAATTTGGCTCTGTCACACAAAATCCACTTATCTTGCCAACCTATCAATTGGGCGATAGTGGTCTAACCATCTTCATACAATAAGCTTCACCAGAAAGTCAAATTATCATTAAGAATGTCTGTTTATACATGAGTGTCGGCTTAACGAACTATATTTGCGTTTTCACACATTTCTCATTTCTCATTTTCACTCACATTTAGTTTCTCACATGCTCCAGCAAGGTAGTCGTCGGTAGAATCACGTTTTCTCCTTCTTTGTCTTGCTTCACCATAGAGGGATAACTCATTTGCTTCCCCTGTGTTTCCACATCTAGGAATCACGAACAACTTTTTGGTCTCAAAGTCCAACTCTCCAGTGACATTTATTCCAGCCATGCGCTGAACTAAAGCAATTTCTTTTTCGAGCCCAGGAGTTGGCGCACTCGGTCTTACCCCAGATAATATCTTGTATTTTTTTATCCATTCCTGTCAAAGGAATTTCAACTTTCACTTAGTAATATACTGAGACATATTTGGATTCATGGACATAAAAGCATTAGAGGAAAGACCGAGGAAATTTCTATGAATCTGGCCATTAGAAAATCAAGAGCAAGCAAATGAAGGATCATGATAGAGGTAAAGTGTTATGTAGGATGACGAGGCAATAGTCGGCAGCAAGTTGTTGAGCTTGAAACATATTTTTGGTGGATTTACGTCTTCCCTCTCTGAGATGGCTGTTGCGAAAATGACAAAGTAATTCAACCAAAGTTTGAGTGATTGTATGGTCATCATCCTTCTTCATCTGCAACATCTGTAAGGAGACCGCCTTTTGATCATGAAGAGTAAGCCCTCACAGCCCATCTAGGAAGTGTTTTAGCCGTAGAACTGAACTTGGTAGAGCTGTACTGGCATTTCTACTCGAGATCGATGAAAGGATACCGAAATCAAGTGATATTTGCACGAAAAACAATGTTTTTCTTTCAAAGGCCAAAGTCGTCTTAAGTTACTTACTCCAGTATGTTTTTGGAGGCAGAAGATGAACAAACACCTCGAAATTTGAATGAACGTTCATGTCATTATAACATCATAAAAATTAATAATGAGGTCAGAGTCTTAGGCCAGATAGAGAATGCTTCATTAAACTCTTAGCATTATGTGAGGACGGAAATCTATAAATTGGTTGGTATGTCCGCAACACATGTTCGAAAATCATTTTTTTACTAGCCAACTTCGGTTGGAGATCAATTCCCGAAATTTTTAACTGATAGCATGGTGGCAAATGAGTCCTGGGGAGGTTGACCAAAATAGTTGCGATGCTTGCCTCTCCATTACAGAAATTCTAAATAAATGCCCAGAGTATACTGTGTTTGGCGTGTGCTACCCCAATAAGCTTTGTGATGCCTTAGTAAGATACCAATCGGAAACAACCCAAGAATTAAAGTTCGCGAAGCTTCCGTTTGGTGATATGTCAATGAACGTCTTGGCAACAGATGCGTCTGCTTGCCTTCCCAATGGGCGATTAGAACTTACCCAAAACAACAAAAAGAATATATGATACAGACGTTGGAAAAACAAACAAGTCATTGTTAAAATGGTAAAGCATACTACAAGGCCAACAGATTTTGATAAATCGTTCTCCAAACTAAAGAAAACATTTGAATATTTATCACAGTTAAGGAAATTCCTTTTGGCAAGGAAAGAAATTCACAGTTAGCATGGACCAAATATCCTACCATCAGAGCAATGAAAATGCAAGATTTGTTTCAACGTTAAAATTTTTTTCTTACAATGAATAAAGGTAATGTTCTCAGAGGTGCAAAAGAGTTTTTTTTTTTACCTTTCTTCGTATTTGAAAGTACCTTTTCTCGGCTGTAACTGGACTCGCTCTGACGAAGGGCTAACGCTCGAAACGTTAGCTTTATAAACTCTTTATGGTGACCAATGTAAATCTATAAACTCAGTTGGTAAAACCAAAAAATCTTGTTATACTCCCCCACCGAAACAGGAGCACCCCTATACGTAACTGAAATAACAACACTGCACAAACTCCATGCTAGTAAGATTAACTACAAAGAAGACAACCGATACTTATGCGGGACGGAGAGGGAGGGGGAAGAAATGAAGCGTCTTGCTTACAGTTTGATATTTATTGGTGTTGATTCCCAGTCATTATTTTAGAGAATGGTTTGATCCCAGTGATGAATATGCGATGCAGAAGTTGGAAAAACAAGCGCGTAAAAAGTCACAATACCTCGGCGTCTTTAAGTGTCACTGCATCAACGACTGCTACTGACGGTTTGCTTGAGTCTGGGAAAGGAAGGGGCGCTGCTGAGGTACATTCACTATACCAACAGTTAATTAACAAACCAACTGTGAGTAAATGCCATGGAGATCTCAGATCTATAGAAAGAATCGACGACTTCTTGAAACTCATGACCAAAGCGCACAAATGCAAAAATCCAACTTGAACTTTGACTTAAGGTCCGGTCTGTAAAGAGTAAACAATGAAGCAAACAAAGTTTGCCTCGACGACAGAATGAGATTATTAAGATATAGAGGTTTTCACGAAAGAGCTTCGGGCACTTAAACTTGCATTTGAAATTAATTAGCCAGGATACTTAATACTCAATTTCTATGTAATCAAAAACAAATTATTCCCTCTCGTGGCCGGTGTTCTTTGATACTTGTGTACTTAGGTTACTAGCGATAGCGATCTCAGAAGCAGGATGTAATTTATGCCGCCTGTGGTTTTTTACCACGTGTGCAAAGACATGAAAGCATTGAGGCCCTCAGAGGAACATCACTGATTCATTACTCGATTCTACTAAGACAGTAAACAGAGATTTGTTGGGTCAAGTGTTGCGAGGGGAAATGAGCAATCCGATTAGAAGTGATGATCGAAATCAACCAGTATGAACTGCAAGTCACCAACCTTCGAGGCTGGTCGACGCAAACCAATGCAAATCAATCTGGAATCAATAAGCCACCAAATAATTTCTTTGGATGTCAATAGCTCCCAAAAATCTGCAAGACAGAGCTTTTAGTGTTAAGTTACAATCTCCATGAAACAGTTAAAAAGGTGGACAGACTGAGAGTTGGAAGGTAATTGAATAACTGCTGAGATGTCTTAAACAATTTTCAACCTCATCGCCCCTTTTAAGTGTTTTTCGTATTTTATTTCGGATTGGGCAGTTACGAATAAGCATCATCAAGGAACTTTTGTATACGCAGTGCCAATTTAGCAAAATGGCTGAAGGGATGGGTATTCGTGTATACTATTATTTCTCCGTTGTTCACTCTACTGGTACCAAAATCAAAATAGCTTATTTAGAAGGCCGATTTCAGCATGACTTTTCCGGCATCAAACGTAAGGTCATTGAGCATGGCTGTTTATAGAACAATATTTTTGTGAAGCCCATTTTCAGCCCCAGACCTTCCTTTAGTCAATGAAGAGGATCATAGCATAGCTGAGACGTATTTTGGCCTAAACGGTGTGATTTACGTCAAAATTTTTCTTTACTATTCACGTACGTACCTCACTTGTCGCCTGAGTTGGACTAATGCTACAACTAACTTCACCTTACTTGGTACAAATGCAAACAAAAGGGGAATTATTTGAGAATCCTAAATATAGCTGCCGAAGTTGATCCTTTTTTGACTTTGTACTGGTTTGATTTGATCCAAGGAAAACAAATCGTGATGGTGGTCTCGGCATTTTTTTTTACAAAGAAAGTCGTCCCGTAGGGTGCTACTTACATTCCAAACATTCCCCCTGTATCAATCAAGTTGACCCATTCCAAGGTTATTCAATTCTCAATGACCAGTTTTATAATCTAGTTTTATAATTCTCAATTGACCAGTTTTATAATCCTCGAATACATTTTAATTCTTATTACGGTACTTTTAAGATCGAGGACCATTAGTTCATCAGTTGAATTACTGTTGTGTGTTATACCCTCCTTAAATAAAGTAATTATTATTATTATTATTATTAATGTGAGCCACAAATAGTTCAAGAAACCCATCGTTTTCCGAACTTTATTTCATAGCAGTATACACTCATTTTTCTTATTTTATTATAAGAATGTGCAACTTAGGGGCTGAGGCTGGACGTTGTTTGTTTATGCGATTTGAGCCTGAAAACGTTCACAACATGTTGTTTGAGATACACAGCATAGTATTTAAAAAAATCAAATTCGGTCGTGACCTTAATTTACCCTTCCTTATATAAATTCCTCTTTTAAGTAATCTGACTGTCTGAGTTGTGCTTTCTTGTTTTCGTGAGGTTTTCGTGAGGTTTTTCAGTTCCCTTTTTGGCTTTAAGAATGATACGCAAGCTCTTTTCGCTGATGATGATGACAATTGAAGGACAAGAAAATGTCGATCAGTCAAGCAATAAATCAATCCGCAATTGATTATTTGAAAGTGTCTATTTTCTCATCTTTACTTGTAAGTTGATTATGTAGCAGTCAAAGCATGCGATACTATTTTTCTTCGGGGGTGGGGGGGGGGGGGTTCAAAATAAACGATCTGTTGGGAGACGTGAAATATTTATCAGTATAAACATGGTTTCAGATGTGATTTCCTTTAACAAATCGATCAATCGAAGAAGATTTGTCGAACTCACTCTAACCCAGTACACTCTCCAGTACACGTTTTACTCGCTCCAAGCTTTGAACGTTTAAATTAATTCAGTATGGCGGCTTGAACCCTCGATTGGAATATTTTAGCAGTTCTCGCGGGCTCAACTGGCATTCAACTTCACGAAAAGATGAAGCGCCGGTTTTTTAAAAATAGAATCTTGTCTAGTGTAAAACTCTTTCAAGGCGGATATCTTTTTGTATGATACGTCCCATCAAACACATTTTGCAGAGCGCCTCGGAAACTTTAATTTCATTTCAGCAAGTTTTCCGAGCTTGACTGGTTTCGCAACAAGTATCCCTCTCCTTGGCCAATAACAAATGATTCCTTGTTAATAGAATAAGAGAGATGGTAAAATGGTGATAATAATTTCTTACTTGTGTAACTGAAGCTTAAACTAACCGGGCTTATCTAAATTGTATGAACGATGGTCATAAAATTCTAAGAATTTTGTTCTTTCCTTGTTGTGAAGGGAAAATTCACAATAAATTCTCATTTTCAACCTGTTTATATGTCAATGCATCGCATCCAAGCAGGGCCGATAATACGCGGGTATCCAGACACCATTCTAAGGGCGCCATCATCTAGCTTCCAATACTCGCTGTTTCTGAAGAAATAGGTTCTGCGATTTCCTTTCCATGTAATGGCTGCGTCCACTTGGTGAGGAAGACCTTGAATGTTAATCAAAAGGCAAGTCAGTATCTCTAGTTTCAGATGAAAGAAGCGTCCAGCACACTGCCAGGATCAACACACGTAAAATTGGAATGACGGTTTCTTTATGAATTTTTGAATGAATAAAATTCAAAACACACACAGGCTAATCAGTCGACCAGTAAGAGATAGTTGACGGAACGAAATTGAAGTTAATATGAGACCATAATCAGTCAATCGATCAGACAAAACGAAAAAACACTGACAGGTGTGTAAAAGGGCGGCAAATTTTATCCATCCGGTTTTAAGTTTTAATTTTTCCTCAAACTTGTGGCAATTTTTTCCAAGTTTTATTGAATAATCGTCAATTTACCTTTCTTTATTGTCAGTGGTCCTCTTGACGGAAAAACTTACAAATTTTATCGCGCCCTTCTAATTTCTGTTTACTATTTTCTGACCACGAATTTCTTATGGTTGTAAAAGGTCAAGTTATGCAGTTATTCCGGTCGAGAAACAATAGCTCTTTTACCAGACGGTAATTTATCACTTAGTCCCTTCCTTTTTCCCTTCTTTTTTAGGACTTTAAGAAAATGAGTATAAACTCTACCAGAGTAACGTTGCTCAGGCATGCAAACATTCTATTTCCACAAGCAATCAAGCGCAGTTTACCTCATGTAAAACACATTTGAAATGACAGACCAGTCAATTTTCGAAGTAAAGATACCTTACCCCAAACTGAAATAGGTCTTGGATAATTATCGTCTGCGATATTTTTGAACTCGTTGTATCGCCAGTAATTATTCCCTTTGAAGAAATACGTCTTGCCATTGCCTCCCCAAACAAATGCTGCATCAGGATCAGTCAGTGACGAAGGCAGGCCGAAGCGAGTTATCTCTCTGGGGCCTTCCTCGAGAATGAAACCATAATACTTCCAGTATCTGTCAAAATTAAAAACGCTGCAGTTGAAGATAAAGAACGCTTTTCGTCTAAATAAAATAAACTTATTACAACGGCTAATGGAAATAAGAAAAGCTGGAAACGTTACCTTAAAAAAGAAAGCCATAGAGCACTCATAAGAAATACAATTTAACTTACGCCAAGGTGGAGAAATGTGAATAACTTAGTCAGCATCAAGAGTTTTTTTGGCGGTCAACAGTTGAGTAAAGTAAACTTACAGGCTTCCTTTAAAAAACACAGTCCTTCTGTTAGAATTGGTATACACGCTGTTGATTGGTGTCTGGAGTTCCCTCCATTTTGATTTGATCTTCATTGGGCCCTGATAAATCTCGAGGTCTGGAGATAATGACCAAAAATATTCTCCACTGAACACGTATGTCCTACCGTCCGTGCCCATCAAGAAAGCGTCAAACTTCGACACTTTGCAAATATCAAGAACTGGTTGTATATCAGGGGTAGTTGGTTTCTCTGTAAATGTTTTGGTCGTGGGCTTAGTCGTGGCCATCGTTGTTGCTTTAGGTGTCGTCGCTTCCGTCGTTGTAGGGAGCTTGGTTGTCGTCGCTTCAGTTGTAGTCGGAGAGGTGGTTGTCGTCGCTTCGGTGGTGGTCGGAGGGGTGGTTGTCGTTGCTTCGGTGGTAGTCGGAGGGGTGGTTGTCGTCGCTTCGGTGGTAGTCGGAGGGGTGGTTGTCGTCGCTTCGGTGGTAGTCGGAGGGGTGGTTGTCGTCGCTTCGGTGGTAGTCGGAGGGGTGGTTGTCGTCGCTTCGGTGGTAGTCGGAAGAGTGGTTGTTGTTGGTGGACTTGTGGTTGTTGGAGGACTGGTCGTTGTTGGAGGACTTGTAGTTGGTGGTTTACCTACAAGATGAATTCAACGATAATGATCAGTCGCATGTTTAAACATTTGCACACATGATGTATCATAATCATGGGTATCATAAGAAGACATAAAATCCACAAAAAGGGCATTGTCGGAGGATTTGTTTGAGTAGAACGTATCGTTGTAATAGGCTTTTCTACAATTCATTAATGACCAAAGAGAAGATAAAAATTTGGAACCATTTTTTAGGCCACAAACAAATTTGCATAATTTTCAATGAAGATGTGAAACTTAATTGCCGCGCCGTAAGAAAATGGGAACTCTCAGTTTTTTGGCAAACCTATTGTATACCCCAACCGCCTCAGATACTCCACCACTTTGTCACTGAGAGGCTTACTGAGGCAGCAATCTATCGAACCCAAATAATGATACTTGCTTGACGCATAAGATGGAGTAAAAGTATTTGTAATCGCGATGGCACCATTACCGGACAATTTTCACCGAATGAGTTTCTGATCCAGGCATCCCAATTTCTGGATAGACAGGAGCGAGTTGAGTTTCGTGCTTTTACTCCGGGGCACTTACCATAAATGTCTTGTATACCAAGGATATCATCCTCAGTAAGCTCGATATTAGGAAAATAACCCTTGTACCAAGGGTACATAATGGATTCTCGTACGTTGGAGTGTTCCAGACCCATGCTGTGTCCAAATTCGTGAACCGCCACCCAGTCTAGGTTGATGCCATTTGGTGTTCCCGTGGTAAACAGCTCATCGTCATCAAAATGAGCGTCACCGGACAAGCCTAGGAGGGAAATTATCTTTTGAAAACCGGTGATATAAAATGACAGCTTGAAAAAAAACTTAAGAAAAATCATCGTTTCTTGTCAAGATTAGTATCAGAACTATTAAAGTTACATGCGTGTGAGAGCGAAATATCCACAATCACACACACTCCATTTCGCCAACCCATGGAATAAAAGATTTCGTCATAGATACAGTGTCCAAACAGCTCTAAAGTATTTTATATCTTAGCAGGTTTATGCAGCCTTCAAATACGCTTCCCTCGATTGACCACCGGAGGTGGAAAAAGTTATCAATAAAGGCCATATAGGGATGCAAAATGACTATTAAACCCCATTCTCCAGCGTATTAACATCCTTTTTCGAAGGAGAATTATCAATAAACACCGATTTCGAATGAAATCCATAGATGGGAGCAAAATTACCAATAAACGCCGCAGTGAGTCTGCCAAAAATTGGGTTCATTCGAGAATTAAATGATAAAAGAATTTGCACGCATGGTGCTTCTTGCCAATCTACACCATCACTGGTAACTGATAACAAGAGGCAATAAGACTTATTAAACGAACTGCGTTTAATCGACGAAATACAGCCTTGATTGGAGGTGTTGATACTAACCTCTGTTATTGTGTGGGTAATACGCATGCGCTAATGTTCCTCCTGGGCCGTCAAAGGGGTACGGATCAAAATGGTAGCCTGCAACAAATGAAATGAGTATCTCCACATCGTCATTAGGCACTGATGGATCAGTTTGCTCCCGGACGGTCAGGGTGCTGACGTCTGCCCATTTTTTGATCATTTTTCGAAGAATGTCTCTCTGGACGTCGACAGGAAGATCTTTTGTGGGTGTCAAGAAACGGTAAGAAAGGTTCTTTAAAAGAGAGAAGAGCAAACATTACTTTTGTTATACAGTTTAAATAAACCTTCACATTATTATAAGATCACCAACCCTTATCAAGATATTCCTGCCAGGTACTGTTTTGGAAGGGAGAAAGGATTTTCTTACAGAACGCAAAATAACGCTAGGTCGGAGAAATTTCTTGTACAACATGAAACTGCGCGAGTTATAACTGCTTTGGGACTTTTTTTCGTTTTTCAGTTTCTTTTCTATCTTTCTGGTTTTCTTTTGCTGTTAGAGTGTGAATGGTCGCGAAGGTTCAACGTTCAGGTTCAATAGTGTAGTATTATTTACTATTAAGGGAAACGGCTTCATTGGAGGAAATAACGAGTCGATCAAATCGAAGCCTAAATATCCCCCCTCCGGGCAACCCCCTGAGTATTTGAACCTTTTGAAGATTGGTTTGTTCAAATGCCTCACCCAATCTTTCTTGGAAAAGGCAAAATGAGCGACTGTTACTTTCTACACATTGACCGGGCATTAAAAACTAGATCTTGTAGACCATTTGTTCTAAGGTATTCGCGCGCGGATGTATTATTCTTAAACTCCAGCATAATTGAAGATATAACACTTGTATACACTTCCACTTCAAATTTCCCACCCGAGCCAAGTAACGTTTAAGTATTCCTTCTCCGAGCACGGACGACGGTCAAATACCCGTGGGTTGGGGTGTTGCAGCTTCGAATTGATCGGCTCATAAACCCCACGTGTACAAAAACCGCACTTTGTACACCAAAAAGCTATTTAAATTACACTTACTCTTTTTTTCCATTCTGTCCCTTGTTTAGTATACCGTTTAATTCTTCCTCTTGATTCAAGTGAGCTGTGCTCTTGGTTCTCGTCTTCTTGCTCCCGGACGCCACATCGTGGTAGCACAAAAAGCTTTTTGGTCTCATAGTCCAACTTTCCAGTTACGTTTAGTCCACCCCGGTACTGAATTTTTGCAATCATGTCCGTGAAATTGACGGCCTGTCCGGGTTTTTTAATCCCGTACTTTTCCATCCATTTCTGAGAAAGAAATGAGTCGGTTCAAGTCAATAACTTTTCAGTGGACCGAAAGGAGATGGGAGCCTGAAAAAATCCACTCAAGTCATTTAAGGATTTTAATCTACAAAATACCACACAACAATTTTTTTTACTTAACTCCCTTTAAGACTCCTTACACCCACTTTGAACGTCGCCATTTTGAATATTGGCGCTTAACCCCTTCAGGCGTCGTCACAGCCTATGTCCAGGCTCTCATCATTAGCGCCGTGGAAAGAGACATTTCTCGAATGGTTAGGTTACTTTTTGTACTCTAAAACTGGAGCATGAAGGGTTTTTTTTTTTAATGAGGGGAATACTTCTGCGTTGCTTTTGGCTGAATTAGCTCTTGCCAAAATGCTAATAGCAGCTTTCACAAAGATAATGCTTGAGCTGATTATTCACTCTAGTGTTGAATGCTGACTTTGAATTTTACGTCACAAAAGACGAATCTCAACGCAATAAATTAATGAAGCCTGTTTTTAAAGGGCTTTCAAAAACCTAAAACATGAGTATGTTCAAAATATCACTTTTTTTGACAAAAAAATGCCGCGCCTTAAAGCGGCTCGTGTTAAATCATACTTGAGGTCGTCCACGCGAACTAAAAATCACGCAAGATCGCCATGCCAATAGATTACAGGTTGCAGCAGATCTGAGAGAGCATTTGATGTATCAGCAGTGGAATGGATAGATATTATATTAGAGGCTGTTGTGTTTCTTTTTCACGATAAGCAAAATTCAACGAGCAGCGAGGGTTTTGTCAACCGATTTTACGAAGGACGAACATCCGAGATAATCGGGTGTGTGGAAATACCATAATCCTATTCTATTTCTTGTTACCGATAGGCAAAAATCACGAAAAGAAGCCCGAAAAAATCTTATACTAATAAATCAATCGGGCTTAAGTCTCTAATATTTTCGTAGCCGGTTTCAACAAAATATTGTATACAAGCGCCTTCTTGGAGAATAGCCTTAGCAACGTCAAGAGTGGAAAAAGTTTCTGTTTACTTCAGAAGTCTATCTCACTAAGCCATAAGCTTATTACGTGGATTTTATAGAGGATTTTTTCCCCAGAGCAAAGTGATGCTTTCAACTGTGCATACGCCTTCACATACCATACAGTCTGGCTGTTTAGAGTAGGGCCCAGCCTATTTTAACATGAATACCGAAAATTCACGGCGTGGCTGATTTTAAATTTTCCATGCGGGCCCCTTTTCCCCATACATATGTTTGAAAGTCTCTGACCTCCCCTTACTACGGCGTTATTAGCGAGGAAATCATTATCACAGATTTTTAACCACACTTCTATTTCTTCAACTTCAAACTTGATGCTATAAGCAACATTTGATAAAACGTAGTTTCGAATTTTTTTTTCATATTTTGGTACTTAGCGATTGTAGACATTACGCGTTGAATGAAACGTTTCTACGATTTCAGACATGTTCATATTCCCATGGGACGTGAGAATCGGCGGAAGTGTCTTTGATCAACGACAACAGCCAGTGCAAAGAGCATTTCCCAGTTTGTAGAAGGAAAAGGGTAGGATTTTTTTTCTAACGACATGTGAGTGTCCCGGAGAGATTTTATGCATTGCTTAAACTTGTTTTGATAACCTGTCTGAACCTATGTCACAATGAGCTATCTGTGTGTAAGGTCTGCTCGCTCCAAGCCTACAGATAGAAACTAAACTCCCTCATACGAAGGTTATGATCACTTACGAAACATAATTCGGTGTCCACTTTATCGATTAGTTCTTTGGGTGGCTTGCTAGGATCGTTGATAACACGTGCAATTGGTACTGCAGAGGTTCGATCGCAACACCACAGACAAAGTAAAGCGAAGAAGGTGATGAAAAGCCATGTTGAAATGAAGCTTTGAATCTTCAGCTTTGACCTCGTGAAATCCATCCTGGTTTTTCCAGGGGCCTCTGTGAGCAACGGCCTCAGTTTGGCCCTTTATCAGCAAAAAAGTGACAGCAACTGTCCGTAGGAAGGACCTCAAGGTATCTTTGGCACGAGGGCCTTTACGCGAGCTTGAGACGTTTGCGAAACGGAGACTAAACAAAGTAATCCTGTAATGTGACACTACTTTGTAAACAAGATAACATACGCGAAGGAATTTTTATAGGCTCCTTCTATCTAGTTTGTTGAGTTGTTATCTGTCACTTATTGTTTTCCTGTAATTGAAGGTGTGGCATTTAAATCGATCGGAGGCATTCTACAAAGTTTCAATAAATTAATCTACACAGATTTTTGAATGAATGAAGCAACTTTCCTTTTTATCTCCGGCAATAGATAACTTCTTTATGTATCACACAACGGAACTTCACTGGCTCGATAATTATGTCCCTTTTCGAGGATCATTTTCAAGAAGCTGATGTCTGCATCTGACAAAAAAATGTAAACAGAACTAGGTTTTAATTCATTGCCTTTGAAAATTCGAGAAAGTTGTAGTTTTATCAGTCCCAGTTTCTATGTCCTATTTTATATGCTGAAGAAACTGATATTTCGAGAGACGAGTGATTAATAAGATCATATCAAATTTGATCTGTACCGCACATAGTTGACCTTCCATTAAAATTTTATTTCCCCTGTTGTCGAGCCAATTTCACCTACGTTAACATAACCCTCTTTCTTACTGCTGAGCATTCCTATATAAACTAGTTTTCAAAAGAATCGGGTGTTTAAGGTGATAATGGAATAATTCTAGAAGATAGAGACGCGTAATAGAATCTCCTTTTTGGATGATGTGCTGACATCACAAAGATATTTTCGATCATCAATTTCCAGAGTCAGAAACAGGTGTGTGAAAGTGAAACGTAAAGTTTACGTTCATTGAATACAACAGATACAAGATACTGAGAGCCTGCTTTTGCAGAAATTGATTGCAATTTAGTATTTTTCGCTGACTTAACCACTGCCTGCTCATTTTTCTAGTTTCTTCAAGGAAAGTTTCCGCCTCGAGCTAAATCAAACATTATATTTGACTTCAAGTCACTGGAATCTATATGACTATTTGCTTTTGTATCACTCTCAACCAGGTTTCATTGAGATAATTTACACTCGACATAGATAACAAGAAAGTTCAGTTTGGAAACAAAATAATCTCGTAAAAATTCTTCGAGCATATCGCGTGTCAAGTTCCGAGAGATAAGCCTCGATATCTTACCTCGGTGTAATTTGGCCGTCAAAATATCAACATGGCAGGATATGAAAACACTTAGGAGGTAATAATAAACAGGGCTGGAGCGAAGATTTTAAAGTTTGGATAAGATTGAATGGAATGAAAACAACAAACTGGGGCTAAAACTTAGGTGGGAACAGTCATGTAGCTTGCTGAAAACAATGGGAACTCTGGAAGAAAACGTTCGTGACACGTGCGCAATAGACGATATTTGTTTATAAGAGTGGACTGCGTGATTTCCGGCTGAAATCAACATCTTTCAGAAGAATTTTACGTTTTGTAATCTGTGGTGTCAATTGTATCATCCAGGAAGGAAATGAGCGAAGGAAGTGGTTTGTCTCCAGCTATATCAAGACGAGAAATTTAGAGACAAATGGTGAAGGTTTCTTTGCACTAACATTGAGCAAATTACAAACTTATCTAAAAGTGACTGCCCGTTGTCACTTTATTTGTCGTTTGACTACAATACAAGTGTCAATTTTGTGTCAATTATAGAGCTACACGCAGGCCAACTTTTATGCCCCTTCGCCCTCAAGATTCGATAAATCCGTAATTCTCCTTTGCTGCCGACAAACAGTTGAGGGAATTCGAGACAACCCCTTCATACTCAACTTATGACGTGGCTTATTTCCATCGCAGGTTCGCTGGATATTGCATTTATATATATTCTCCAAAGAGGCTGGATGTTGCTCTAATTATACCCTGAGAACAAACCGTCAGATAATCATGCGTTTCTAAGATGTAAAGGGTTAGAGGAATAAATCTAATTGAGCGAAAGTGACGTTGCATATAAAAAACTGAGTGTTTACTGATCAAAACGGGCTTTTCTATACGACAATCCACAAGGATTCTTTACGGAGCATTATTATGGTCACTCACGACAGAACTCATAAGTTCTTCTTAAGGTTCAGTCGTACCAACACCTCCATCACACCTCATCCACCTAGTTGCTATCGACTTAGGATTCCTCTCGCCTCTGTTCGCTTTCCCGTACCTGTAGTAAGGCTCTTTGTTTACCTTTCTAAGCCTGTAGTAAGACTCTCCCTTGAAGACGTAAATTCTGTTGTTGTTGATCCAAGTCGTTACTGCGTCAGCATTTCGCAATCGTCGTGGCCTAATAATCTTCGGGGAATTCCGCCTATTCTGGTTACCACTGAGGCGCCAATACTTTGACCCTTTGATAAAATGGGTCACATTTCTGAAGGCGAAAGCCGCATTCATGGTGCGTCTGAAACGGCGCAATCTGTATCGCTTGCGAATCAATCCTCTACTGCGAAGGAGATTGTTATCTCTGTACGCCCAATATCTGCAGCAAAGAGTCAATGCAATTTCCTTTGGATGAGAAGCCTTTTTTATGAATTGAAATGCTTTCAAACGCATGAAATTGAACTTGTTTGGAAAAGATTGAATCCTTAAATCAGGTGGTGGTGCTATATAAGGTTGCAAAATCAATTCTTGAAATGCATTTATATATAAAAATAGTTAATTTATTAATTAATGGATTAATACAAATAACTATAGTCGATTGTTCTGGCAAAAAGTGAGAATAAACCGAACAAATAAAAGATTGAATTAATCAGTGAAGAAATGAACGAACCGATGGATCACTGAATTACTAGAAAAAAGTATCGGACGAATGACTATTAACTGATTTCCTCTGCTAAATTAAAATCCAATACCTTCCTCCTTTGAAAAATACAATATCACCGTTTTCATCGCGAAAAGCTGCATCCAATGGACATCGAACATTACTCCAGAAGTCTGTGATTTTGTAAGGGTCACTTTTCTCCAATGAGTTGTTAACTGTCCAAAACTGATCTCCTGAAATACGTCAATTTTTCATCACCAAACACAGCGTCGTAGCGAGTTCCCGGTAAGCAGGCTGGGTGTTTAGGTTGTTTTTTGGTAATTAGTATTTCTGTGGTACTTGTGGATTCTGTGGTCATTGGCAACTCTGCGGTAGTTGAAGTAACTGGTGCCTCGGTGGAAGTTGACTCTTCTGTTGTTGTTGGTAGCCCTCCGGAGGTTGGTGATTCTGTGGAGGTTGATGATTCTGTTGTACCAAAACATCGTCTCTGTTGAGCTGAATATCCGGGACATAACCCTTGTAAAATGGATACATAATAGCTTCCCGTAAGTCTGAATGAGCCAGACCCAGACTGTGCCCAAACTCGTGAACCGCTACCGAATCGAGGTTGATGCCTA